GCCATAATTTTCAAACATGCTTCTTTTATCATCAGATGCACTTCTATGCGTGGATAGAAAAAACAACTTCGTTTTAGTGGTAGACATAAAACAAAAATGAATATATCACAAATTCTCTTGAAATCTGGGCCGTGGGATATAACGTTCGTAGCCACCGACCAGATTGCAGTTACATAACCTAATATTGGGAAGATTTGTTTCCTCTCAGTAACAGACAAGAAACTGACACCAATCAGAGAAATAAAAGTCAACGGACAATGTAGAGGGATATCTCACTACCAGAATACATTGGTGGTATCTTTTGTGGAACCACCAAAACTTCAAATTTTAACACTGGAGGGAGAGGTTGTACACAGTATTACAGCTGGTACTTTAGGTTGGCCTGGTTGTGTAGAAGTTAACGTGTGTGGGAGTAGTTTCTTTGTATCTGATAATAACAACTCTTCGTTGATGAAATTTTCGTTTGATGGAAAATTACTTGCCACTTATCAGGACGAAAGTTTTAAGTATCCGAGGTCATTTACCGTTTGTGAGGATGGTTCAGTTCTTGTTTGCAGCAGTGGAAATAATACATTAAAACTAGTTTCGCAAGATTGCAGAAAAATCAAAATCTTGCCGATTGAGACATATAGGCTTAATAGATTGCAGTCTGTCTGTTTAATGAAGCAACTTCCACTTTGTATCTTAGTAACAACTTCGGAAACTCCGTCCTGGTTTACAAGCAGGCCTGACTTTGTCAACCATTGACTTTCATTTTCGCAAAGGCAAAGTCATTTATAAATAAACTTACATACAACCATTATTAAATGTGATGCATATTTATGATAAAATATTCAAAACTGTACATTTGAATAAGAAATAACAACAAATTTATTGGACAGTAATTTATAGAGGCGTCAGAGAAAAATGGCCCAGTTTTTGTTGTTAGCAGTGGTTAAATATACTGTGCGCTTACATAAGAGGTTTGTTGAAAACTCATAAATGTGTCATGAATACTTAAAGTATACAATGAGCTGAAGTCAGTGTAAAAAAACAACAATTTTTTGTATCAAATTACTTTTATTTGTTATCGGGATCATTCAAGTGATACGTCATCATTTTCAATTACAAATGTTTATTCTTTTAATTATAATCATTATTCATTTTTTTAATTTAAACAATGTTAATTTAATTAAACACTTTGAGCTGCAAGCTTCCAGATAAGCCTAAATATTGATAGAAAATCAAACTTGAGAAAAAAATTACTTACATTTGAAGAATGATTAAAAATTCAAGTAATATTTACATATTATGTGCGAATAATGGCAGAATTTGCATTATTTATCACCATTTCTTTACTCTGTGACTTACGGAGTAAGGTTATTTTTCTATATTTTGAAGTGTTTAACTCTATAAAACTATAGGGTTATATGAATATAAAGTGCCATTAAAATCAATAAAAAAACAATTGTTCAATTTAGAAAATTTCAGTCAGGATTTCCTAGATTTCAATAAATATTCTTACCTAAATATCTTCAAAGCAATATATTTGCGTCTATGTTATGTCCACTAACGATATGTCATAATTTTTAAGAATGTGTTACAAATGTAAATAGCTCTCCTTTGATTTTATGTTTCATAATGAAATTTGACACATATCTTATGAAAGCCTTTACATGTATTATTTTATTTAATTTGTTCGCTGTTACCTCATTGTAAGGGAAATTACCGCCTTTTTTAGTAAAATGTATCAAACAAATTATAATAATAATGCGAGATTTTTATTTATATTGGTTGCCCTTGTATTTCAATTTCAGTCAATTACTTTATGTTTCATAGATATTGTGACACATTTGCTTTTTATGAAATGTTCAGCCTGCAAAAAATAAAGACAAAATATAAACTTATTATCTTTGCCATTTTCTATTTTTGCTTCAATGGTAATATTGCCTGTATAAGGATAATAAAATGACTATAGAGACATGATATCGTGTATATATTGCTTATAAATAATCATGCACATACATTAACCATTATATTTTACTACAACAACAACAACATTTATTTCATTAATATAACAACAACATTATAGTTATATTCATGAAAAAATGTAATTTGTGGTTCAAATACAAAAAGAATAAATACGAAAAGGGTAAGTACGGGAAGATACTTATATAAAACAATATACATGAAATTTTAATGACAAATGTCACTGTGTACATTTTATTTATTCCTTATCCGTAAACTATATTAATTGTTATTTGCCAATGAAAACTTTTTGGAAACTTTAACAGGACGTTAGAAATAAAACGCTTTCGGGAGGGGGGGGGGATAAAAACAATACTAAGACATATTGGACCTTTAAAGATAATTTACTTATAATATATTATAAGGTTGCTGGATTCAAAACGACAAGTACGTAGCTGTCAGAGGTGCGAGGCTGGTCTGATATAGGTTTTGCAGCTGTGCACGCGTTCATTAGAATCAATATTGTTCTAAAACTGTTTAATGACAACTATATTTTACAATACCATTTTGTTATTGATAATATGACAGAACTTTATTACTTTGGACATCGAAAGTTGGTCTCTCAAGAAGAAAAACGAGCCTAGATAGAGTATGATAAGCATTTGATAAAGCTATTATGGTCTCTAAATATGGAAATAAGGCTAAATGGGAGAGCGATACTAATTTTATTTGAATGTTTTTGGCTCGGAAAATGAAAACGAGGCTATATGGCATACGATATGGATTTGGTTTGGACGTTTTGCACTCTGAAACAAAAAAAATGAGGTTAAATTCATATTCTAACACTCACGTGATTTTGTCACTATAGACAAAGAAGGAAAAAACTGGTGTTAAACTTCCAATAAACACCGGTAAGGGACTACTTGTATACTAGTATGCGCTGTTATGTTTTCACCCTCGATTGTATAGTTTACAAAGCATTTTAAAGCAACAATAAAAAGCATTTTTATTTATATTTTCAGTTTGTATAATGTTTTCTTTTCATACAATACCGAAATAATATCTCACATACACTAACGTCACATATTAGATCCATATCAGTTAATAAATATTTTGACAAAACGGCGCCAATCCGTAAGCAGCGTAATGACGTCATCCTAAGTAAACAACTCATTCATAAACAAGCTGACACTATTTCATACATACAAGAAAGATAAATGGGGCACTGATGTAAACACAATACGACGTAAGTTTTTATTGTTGATAACTTGATAAATAACGTTTTTTTCTTATTATTTCTTTTGTTTGATAATTTATATATCTTCGCAACAGTAGGGTGCGAAAATCAAACAGCGTAATACGAAATCGGCACCGGAAGTTATTTCCGCTAGTGATTTTCCTTATTTTATCGTGTTTAAATCGAAATAACATCGGCCTGAGAGGTGTATATCGGCTATTTAACACCGGTTTTGTCAATTTGATGCGACAAAATTAACCACTCAGGCCTACTGCCTTCGTGGTGAATTCCTACGCATCAAAGCTCCAAACCGGTGTTAAATAGCCGATATACACCTCTCAGGCCGATGTTATTTCTTAAGCAATGAATTCTTTTGGTACATTATCTGGTACAATGCTAAAAGTACATTGGTTATATTTTATTAGGTGTTTAATAAGTTATATTATCTGCTTTGATGAGTTGATGTATTGTCTTAATAATTAGCTACCTGCTAGTGTCATTTAATTCTCAAAGAACATTTGCGTCGTGCGAATAAACACATTTTTTGTTACATATCAAAATTTAATTAGTGTTTACCAGTGTTACACGTATTAACCTTTATTTAGCCAATAACATATTCCGACTTTTGTCACGTGTACCTAGAAAAGAATTACTGCATTCTTTATACGCAAAGATTATTGCACACGGTATTTTGTGGCCATACAACGAAATATGGGTTTTTTTTTTATCCTATGGACACTTTCTTTGTTTCAATTAATCTCTGCTTCAAACTTTACGCAAATTTACGCGCCGTCTAAATGTGTCAACAATTTATAAATATTTAAGTGTGCTATGCTAAACTCCTAAGTATTTGTACAGGATGTTTTGTGACAATACAGCGGAAGTGCATCGTATCCTATGGATACATGTCTAGAAGTTTTATGATTTATTATAAAATTTTACCTGTACTGATTTAGCCACTTTCTACACATGATTTTGATTAGATTATTCATTCAGGACAAATTATCAGTTGACATGTTTGTGATATGTATTGATTCCATATTCTGCATTGGGAAAGTGATGTGAGCGAAATTTTGTTCAATGCAACTTTAATCATAACTTTTCTTAGAGACCGAAATAAAGATACTTTGATAGGGGCAATGCACAATTGAGTTTATCAAAGGCCCTGTATAAGAAAATAAAATCAAGTTCCTTGCGGATCATTACTGTGTTTTTCCAGATTAAGCTACTTTTAATGACCAAAGAAACAAGAAAAAATGTTTATGTCACATAACCTTTAGCATTTTTTTTCACTTCTATCATATTATTTTTGTGCACATTTGTTTTGACACAGCATTTGGCTCCTGTAATCACTTAAGACGATATGCCTATAAGCAGCTTTAAACAGTGTATTGGCGTTAATTTCACCAAATTTTGAAGGATAAGTTCAGTAAAAGTCCGCAACTCCGGCTGCATGATCAGTTTATTGTAGAGTCTACGTCCAATGGCCTTTGTTCTCCTTTGTTTGATTTTAATACATGTACTCTCATATTTCAATAACATACATGTAGAAGTACAATCATATCAAATACACATTGATAACATGGGGTAGATTAGTGAGATATTGATATATTATATAACACTGAGATAAACATACATGTAATTCAAATCATTATCTTATCAACATTTTAGCAAATATCATTTCATTAGACGTAAATTATACTACGGTGTGTGCACTAAATATTGTGAAAATACAATATATATTCGAATTGAATTTATCAAGTAATATCGTATTACAGCATTTTAATAATTTATAGAAGACTTTAAACTGCAGACAATGGAGGTACCCGGAAAGACCAGAGATAGAGTTCAAGGTCTAACGTCATCTTTGGGATCATCTAAATGTCATGGAATGTTATGTCAACCATGTAAAGCTGACGGTGAGAGTTTAGAAGCCGATGGTTTCTGTCAGAACTGCCAGGAATATCTGTGTAAAACGTGTATCAAATATCACCGCAAAGTAACTGTCAGTAAACATCATACTATTCTGGATAAGGCTAATATGCCAAAGAAAGTCGAACCACAAACTGTCAAACAACTATGTACTTCGACCTGCAATAAACACAAATTAGAGATAATCAAGTACTTCTGCAGAGATCATGATACAGTCGGGTGCGGTAATTGCTTGTTTATTGACCACAAGGCATGTCAGGTTGAGTTTATCCCGGATATAGCTGACGAATTCGTTAACGGCGAGGAATATAAAGCTATTCTGGTCAAACTCGAGAAACTCCAAACAAAGGTTGATTCCAAGATAATGGCAACAGGGACAGACCAGAAAGTATGTGCTGAAGAATTCGTTTCCGCTGTTCAAGAAATAAAAAGATTCCGAAAAGAAATTGAAGATTATCTAAACAAGATGGAACAATCAATACTAAAGGAATGTGAACGTCTAAGGAAAGGAAATGAAAGTGCTATAACTAAAAATGAGTGTTTGCTGATAACTATCAAGTCTGAACTAGATGACATTGCTGAATGTTTAACATCACAGTCAAAGAAAACCACTGACCTGTTTGTTGAAGCAAAGCAAACAGAAACTCGCCTGAGTGATTTAGAGCAAGACATGAAACAAAATGTAAAAACAGCATTTACTGAGTATAAGTTTGTACGTAACAGTGACTTGAACGCGATGGTTACTGGAAACTGCCCTCTGGGAAAGCTTTTTTCAAAGTTAGTTTCTTACAATCTTTCAAAGGAATGCAGCATTGCTGAATTTAAACCAATATTTGATAGTGAAATTATTGTTCATTCAAATGCCCTTATTTCAAACATGCTTCTTTTATCACCAGACTCACTTTTATGCGTAGATAATGCAAACACCTCCGTTAAAGTGGTAGACATAAAACAAAAAAGTATTTCATCACAGATTCTCTTGAAAATTAGGCCGTGGGATATAACGTTCGTAGCCACCGACCAGATTGCAGTTACATTACCTGTTATTGAGAAGATTCATTTCCTCTCAGTTACAGACAAGAAATTGACATCAATCAGAGAAATAAAAGTCAACGGAGAATGTAGAGGGATAGCTCACTACCAGAATACATTAGTGGTATCTTTTGTCGGACCACCAAAACTTCAAATTTTGACACTGGAGGGAGTGATTGTACGCGATATTACAGCTGGTACTTTAGGTTGGCCTGGTTGTGTAGAGGTTAACGTATGTGGGAGTAGTTTCTTTGTATCTGATCATTACAACTCTTCGTTGATGAAATTTTCGTTTGATGGCAAATTACTTGCCACTTACCAGGACGAAAGTTTTCAGAGGCCGAGGTCATTAACTGTTTGTGAGGATGGTTCAGTTCTTGTTTGCAGCAGTGGAAATGAAACCTTACATCTAGTTTCGCAGGATTGCAGAAAAATTAAAATCTTGCCGATTAAAACAGACAGACTTAAGGCCTTGCAGTCTGTCTGTTTTAATGATGCCACTTCCACTTTGTATCTATGTAATTATTATGGAAACTCCATCCTGGTATACAAGCAGGCATGACTTTATCAACTATTGTTCTGACTTCGTTATTGCAAAAGCAAAGTCATTTATAAATATACTTACATACAACTTATTATATGTGTTACATATATAGAATAAAATATTAAAGAAATGTACATTTGAAAGACATTACAATTAATTTATTGGAAAGTGAGTTTTAGAATTGCCCAAAGTTCTTGTTGGAAATAATACTGTGCACTTACATCAGGGGTTTGTTGAAAACTCATTAATCTATCATCAATTCTTAAAATATACCATAAGGTGTAGTCAGTGGAAAATAACATTTTTTTTAATTATTTTTATTTGTAATCGGGATAATTAAAATGATACTGCATTACATTTATTAACAAATGTGTACACTTTTAATTATAATTATAATTTTAATTATAATTATTATTTAATATATTTTAATTAAAACAATGATAATTTTATGAAACACTTAGAGCTGCATGCTACCAGATGAGCCAATATATTTCAAGAAAATAAAACTTGAGAAAAAAGTTACTCTGATTTTAGGAAAAGTCAAATGATTCAATTTTAAAGTAATAAATTACATGTTATTTGCGAAAAATGGCTGAATTAGAAATGTTGACTACTATTTGTCTACTGCATGACTAACTAAGTAAAGGCTATTTTTGCATATTTTGTCGTTTTAAACTCTATAAAACTATTGGTAAACACAGTATGAATATAAAGTGCCATTAAAAAGCAATAACCAAATCATTTGTCCAGTAAAATGGAATGTAGCTTCCCAAACATAGTTTTTGCATTCTATTTTGCATTCTATTGTTTCAAAAATAAATTTCAGTAAGGATTTCAATAAATTTCTGCATAAAAATATCTAACCTAAAGATGAGCGTAATTATATCTTTAATACAATATATTTACGTCTGAATTATGTTCACACACGATATGTTTTAATTCTTAAGAATGTGTTACAAATGTAAATAGCCCCTCGTGTATTTTATGTTTTATATGGAAATTTGACATATGTTGTCACATATTCTATGAAAGCATTTACATGTATTATTATTTTTAATTTGTTCACCGTTTCATCATTGTAAGGGAAGTCACCGCTTTTTGCAGATTGACAGCATAAGTGATCTTTAGTTATACCCCTTTACGCCACGAACACAGTATATAGACTTATACTCAACCTCACTAATTCCGCGTCATCACTTATTTCAAGGTAATAGGACAAAAATTGGTCAGAATTGACATATTTTGTTCAAACACCTAAACAACAAAGTTTTTGAACAAAATATTTTAAATCTATAGATTTTTACGTAAAACAGAACAACATTTTACAAACTTCTGCAAAAAGCAACAATAGTCAAATAAATTTGTGCATGCAATCATCATTTTCTAAATGTTCTTGTTTGTTAAA